GGGCGCCTGCCTCCCAGCCCCCGCCCGCCCCGCCCTGGGTTGGTCCCAGCCACCGGAGGTCCCTGCGCAGCACGGCGGCGGGCTCCACGTGGGAGGACGAGGAGGAAGACTTGAACAACAACGTGCAAGGCTTGGTCCATGACCTGAGAATTCGGGTCTTCCCAGAGGAGAGGGAAGAGCACCACCACAATGGCCACCAGTACCATCACCGCGGCCGCTACCGCCACCGCCGCATCTTCAGGCGAGGGCCCCCACACCCACCTGTGCGGCGGCAGCTCTATCCCGATGCCCGCGTGCGCTCCCCGCCTCGCCCCACGCCACAGGTCTTCAGCTGCCCGCAGTGCCGAAGGACTTTTCCAAGTCGCAGCTTTCGCCCCAATTTGCAGCTGGCCAACATGGTCCATATAATCCGCCAGATTTGCCGTACACCGTGAAGTGGGCAAAGCCTGTGCTCCAAATATGAGGAAGGTCCTGATGCTCTTCTGTGAGGTAGATAAAAAGTGTAGTGGGTCTAGATTCCAGGCTGCACAAAAATCACAATGTGGTGCCATTGAATTAAGTACTTCAGGTATACAAGGAGCAAACCCCCCTGCCCTGAGAAACCTGTAGTGCCTTGTGCTGCCCCCAGTTTGGGGGAGAAATTAAGGAATTCCAAATGTCATCTTTGGTTCAGTCTTAAATCAGAATTAGAATTCGGTATGTAGCTCAGAAGAATGCTTATTTGCCTAACATGCACCCCTCCCCCAATTTATTTTGAATTAATGGCTATCAAACTTCAGTTTAAGAAACATTAGTTCCTCCTTTGTTTCTGTTAGCTGAGAATTTGCTTAGCTACAAAATTAGGCTTTCAAAACTGAGTACATTTTCATGAGCTTGGTATTTTACTAGTATTTTTGAGCTTGTTATTAACTGATTTGGGGACACACTTTGTAGGAGTCTGTGGTAATGCCATACTTAAGATTTTTTGGCAAAAGTTGAAATGTAGTCAAGATATGCTGTGATATCAATGTCTATGGATTGTCTGTTGGAAAAATTTTCTGTCATAAACGAAGAAAAATAGCATGCATTATTCCAGTTTGCTTTTGAAGATCTGAAGACCTTTCGTTGTTTTTGTTACATCTAAAGTTCTTGGTCTTTAAAGAGAACTGCATTCAGCATTTGGATAACAGTCCCAACATTCAAGTACCAGTGAAAAATTGAAACTGAAAATATGAAACTTTGAAAAATTAAAACTTTCAACAAAATTTTAACACTAGTGTTGACCCTGAAATGCAATAAGCAAATACTCAGATTTTCATTGTGAAGTATTTAAAGCAAAACTTGCCAAAAACAGCATATTTAGCTATATGTGAGCAAATTCATATAAAAAGTGCCTAATTTTGTTGGCTCAGAACCAAATTTAAGAACCAGATTCATGAATATTATCTTTAAAAAGATTCAAGTTAATATACAAAATAATAGATTTCATTATGACAGTTTCATACTTGTGTATCACTGTCCTTTGCTCATATTTGCTCTCTGTTATACTTAAGCTGGTCCATCGTTTTTCCCAGGTAGTCTCTAATACCATCACACGATGCCATTTATAAAAAGAAACGAAGTTTGAATTTAAGATGAGAAAGTATATTTATTGTTGAACATTACTCTTTCTTGTACCCCCATCCTCCTTACCTTTAGAGCCCCCCTTTCCTATATATAACACCCCTTTATTAATGTTATTATTTCAAGGAATTTAGAAATACATGGTGGTGTGTTTAAGACATACTAAAACCTACATATGGTAGTTTTGAGGGGAGAAATGGATTTCACCTTGATGCCCAGTTTTTACTGAAACACTTCATGAAGAGTTTGTGGAATTAAATAAGTCTGATTGTTTTGACAAGAAACTTGTGTGTAAACTAATATACACAGATATGACTTTATTGCATTTTTCAAATTTCTTACATTTTTTTGGTTTTCTTATTTTTTCCACGTTGTGTCTAACTGGGAGGAATCTAAGTATCTTAATGTTTTATTGCATTTTATACAGTACCCAGTAAAGAGAAATTTGTTTCACAGTGACATTCTTATATTATCCAAATAAAATTTTCATTTTAAAGTTAAAAAGATTGAATGAAAATTTAATTTTAAAGAGTAAGTGTTGAAAGTATAAATATTGAAGGCAAGATGGTTTAAAAAAGAACAGTAAATATTTTCTAAATTAGAATCAGAATGGCCTCCATTCCTGAAAACCAATTCTGAAATTTAGTTCCTTTTTTTATACTTAACATATTTTACATCATGCATTTCCATTCCATTCATTTCCAGTCCCTTCATATCCATCCTCTGCCCTTGCTCCTACCCCCCCCCCAAAAAAAAATAAAATTTGAGAGAAAAAAGGAAAAATCTCATCATGGAAGCTATTGTGTGGAGTCACACAGTAACCCCTTTATCCATATATCTTTACTTGGATAACAGAGTCATTGTTCTTTTTCAAGTCCTCTGCTTTCTGCTACACTGTGAATGCTGGGCCCTCCCTGGAACCCCTCTTGGCTATCCTGTTGTTGCCCTGTGTTTTGGGGATCTTGCAGCTTTGGGTCTGCAGGACCAACCCCTTCATGTGCCTTGGCAGATCATAGATAGGGTAGATGTTGGGTGGACTAACTCATAACCCTGGTTCTAGGCTTGGTTGATTGCAGCGTTGGTCAGCCTGGTAGCTCTCCCTTGTCCTCACCACCAGGGGAAGCTCTCCAGTGTTGCCTTTGCTTGTTCACTCCTTGCAACAATGAGCAAGGGGCCGGGGGGTTCTCTTGCTTTCACATCCTCAGGGTACACTCTGTTGTGTTGCCCAGGAGAGGCGCAGGGGCCACTCCAGAGTGCTGCAGCTGGTAAGGGGCAGGGACTGCTGCCCCACTCTTATGACCTCAGGACCAGCTTTCTCACTTGCCACAGGTGGTAAGGAGTGCTCTACCCCTCTCACACCACCATATGACAAATGAGGGGCGGGGCCAGGTCTTCCAATTCATGTCAGGTCTGCTATGCTCTCTAGGCTAGATGCAGAGTCCGCTTTCCCCACTGTTGCAGCTGGCTCACCCATGGCCCTGTCTTCAGAGTCAGCTATGCTATGCTTCCCAGGCAAGACTTTTAGGGCCTGTTCTCTCAAATGCTGCCACTGGTGAGGGATTGGGTCAGGTCCCCTGCCTGCCACAGGTGGCAAGTGTCGTGGAGGAGGGCATCTTTCTCTGACCCACGCTACCACTTGACAGTTCTTTGTTCTCCAATTCTCTCATCCTCAGGGCCAGCTCACCAATGTCCCTGTGAACAGTGTCAGCTCTACTGTGCTGCCCAGGTGAGTTGTAGGGCCCTCACTCCTGAGGGCTTCAGCTGGTGAGGGGCAGGATCAGTCTCAGTGTTACAGCCAGTGAGGGGTGGGGCCAACTCTATACAACCCTACCCTCTCAACCTTTGGTGATATCAGGAACCAGTGACATCAACATAGACCATGGCTACTTCAGGGCCATGAACCCAGACGTGGGCCCTGGCAGCAGCCTAGGCCCAGGCATCATGATGGCTCTGGGTGGCAATCAAGCCACTCACTTCAGCCTGCTCCTCACCACTTTCACCTCTTCAGATATGCCTCTGTCCACAGGACACAACCATTCTGTCTGTCTATCTTTCCCGTAACACACTGTAAATCGACTTACCATGATAGTACCGGGTGTTTTCTCCTTGGAGCCTGGAGCTTACCGCCCTAGGACTGTGTGTTGGTTTCTTTGCCCCTCTCAGGCTGGTACTGTGCTTCCTTTTCAGAGCCTGCTGTGTTCCACTGAAACATGTTCAGTGTAAGAGTGAAGATAGTTCACACCACTGTTTTTATGGGGAAATTCTGAATTCTAAGGGCTAACTTAAGTTAATGGGATATGTGCTGCTAGACACTAAAGGAAACTACACAGAAAAAGTATTGTGCGTATTTCATTAAACGTTTTGCATAAAGTCTTTTTGCCTTTAAAAAGTTTGTAAATGTTATGGATAAATAAAAAAACTATTATTGCTTTTGTGTATTAATTTTCTATTACTGTGACCTTAATTAAACAATGTAAGGGAGAAAGGATAAATTTTGGTTGATGGTTTCAAAGATTTGAGTCCATAGCTTTGTTGATTGTGGGTATTTGGTGAGGCCAGATACCATGGTGATGGGAATGAGTGGCAAGCTACTCACCCCATGGTGGGCAGGAAGCAGAAAAAGAGGCCCTGTATAACAACAAGAAGCTCCCCTCCCAGTGGCTCGCATTCTCAGAGTAGACACTCCCTAAAAGCAAGAACCTCACATAATGCTTTATTAGCTGGAAACCAAATCTGCAATGGATACTTATACTCAAACTGCAGTACATAGAAAACAAAAGCATAGCAAAAAATGCACAAAGAAAGGGAAAGTTGATGAGATGTTATCAAAGTAAGCTAACAATTTTTTCTTGTTGGAAAACATTAAGTACTTGATATATAATTTCATAAATTATAAAGGAAATAAAACCTTGTAATTCTGCCCAATTCTGAATTTTAAAGCCAAAGGTAACGTAAACTAAAAATAAACAGTTCAGAAATGGAATATAGAACCAACCTTAAGACAAAAACTATGCTAGTTAAGTTGTTGAGTCTATCGCACTCATGAGTCCATTGTCAAGATGCAGCTCATGCACTTTAGCGATTGGTCAAAATTGCTTCTGTTTTCTAAAACTGGCTTGCTTTTTGTATGCTGAGAGCAAATTGTGAGTAGAAACTGGATTAGCATTAAGAAATAATAGAGCTATCAAATTGCAGTCGTTAATCATGTTCAGAGGTAAGGAAGAAAAACCAAGTCAAAACTTTTGGGGACTTTTATTCCTCCAGTAAGGAGAGGACAAGACTAAGAGGGGCCAGATAGTGAGTGTACGAGGTATTTTAGCAATGTGGAGCACAATGAGTACAAAGACTTTCTTGAAGAATTTTTTTTTCTGTAAATTTAATGGTTTTCCTTTTGTAAAAAAGTAGTGTAAGTGTGTTATAATAGCTGTCGATCTCCACAAACTTGTACATCATCTGATTCCTGGAATGAACGTTATTAAAACTTCTCATGCCTAGCATGGTGCCTTTGACAAAGAGCTTTAGGAAGAGGTATATAGACGGGATTTTTGCAGATGTAAGTTCTGCTTTCCTCATTTTGTTACTGTTACTCTTTCCCTCCACATCTTGACCACAAACAGAAACAAATTAAGGGAGCTTTTAGATTTAAGCTTGGTTTATAATAGCTGGATTACTTTGTTATCACAGGATAACCAGATGTGCCTATCACAGCATAAATAATATTAGCCTCTACTTTTTTTTTTTTCTTTTTGGACAAAGGACTTAACAAATGTTGACCAGACGATCTAGTCTAGAAAAGCATAATTGCCAACTCTTACTTTAGTGGGGGTGGAGA